TGGCCTTCGGCAACGACGATCCAAATACCACCAGGCGTGTTTGACCAGCGCTATTCTATGCAAGGGATGCCGCCCTTCACTGGGGCAGTGGCGAAGCCATCCCCTTCGTTGCCCGGGGTGGGAGTAACCCAGAACCGTGCGGATATCCAGTGAAATTGGAATCGGCGTGCCCATTTTTTTCCGAATTCAAGGGCAATTTCGAGGGTGCCCTTCAAGGAGTGGGACTAACTTTTTTCCTTTAAAAATTGGTAGTTAGGGGTTTTGGGACCCAATCTTTCTGATTATGACCTTGTTTTGTACTTTTGAAGCTTTCCTTGTAATAAATTTTGTACTTCAAATAGAGGACATTTAATATGGGACGGAGGAAGTATGAATTGTGAGGTACAGAGAATCGCCAATCTGGCTTTACCACATGGCCATTTCACTGCACAACCAGTAGTGCAGTCAGCCAGTCGTGGGCAACAGACACTGCCTATTGTGTTGTGCATAGCCACCTGCACATTCACACTCGCCCAGACACTGTGCCTGCTGTTGATGCTGATGTGAGACAACAAAATGGCAAGCACAGTCAGGATATTGGTGTCGGTTGTCAGCACCAATCGTGGTTCTTAGCACAAGGATGCTGGGTGTTTGAATGTCCCTACTGCTACTGGTCTCCTGCATCCACTATGGCGGACGCAACTCGCACATTTTAGGTGCCTTCCATGCTCTGACACACAGCCCAACAGCCACAAACAACAGGTGGCACTCCGGGCTGGAAACTGCTCCCCACGACCGTTCGCTGCCACAGTCCGCCCGTCTGCGCGCTAAAGGCAACTTTCTTTTCTCATTGCATGTGTGCTCCTATCAGCCAGGCTGGTAGCAACCCAGCTGCACCAATCCGAAAAAACGCTGATCGCAGCGACTGATTTACAGCTTAGTACACTCGTGTTACAGAATCGCGTGGGCAACGCATTTCCACGCGTCGCACCGCGTCGGCGGTCCAACGCCTGCCGGTGCCTGCAGACACCGGCCCACGTGGCGCGACGCGGTGCCATCCGGCGCGATGCCGACGTGGCATCGCGTTTGTACGTATCGGTATGCAGAACCGTGGGCATCGTCCCCATGCGGTTCAAACGGGGCTGAACGCGAGCCCATGACGTGGGGCGCCCATCGCGAGGGCTGACAACGGGAGGCGTGGGGATGCCTTCGGGCTGGTTACCGCGTGGGCCACGTCGCATTTCCGGCGGCGCGGGCCGGCGGCGGGGCACGTTGGGTACCCCGTGGGGCCGCGCCCCGGGGCCGGTACAGCCCCAAGTTGGTGGACGTCCAGCCACGCGTGGGGGGGTAGCTGCGTGGGAACTCCGTGTGCTTGCATCGGCAGCGCTGGTGGCCCGACGGGCGGGGTTTGCGTCCAAGGCCGACGGCACGCGTGGGGCGGCCCCCGCCTGCAGATGCTTGGAGAATATTCCCTGCGTGGGAGCGCGTGGGAGCGCCTGCGCTCTCGTGGGAGGGAATCGCGGCAGGCGCTGTGCGATGCGTTTCAGGGACCGCTTCAAAGGGGGCTGGTTGCTCTGCCGCTGCTCTGCATGCGCGCCGTCCCACAGCTGCCCGTGTGCCTGTGTGTTTCTATTGGCTTCCCTGGAGTTGTTTTTGTGCACGGCTTGAACCCTCCAAGGATAACGGTTCCTCATCAACGTGGGCCCACCATACCCCTGCAATCCCGACCGCGCACGACCACGCAGTCTGTACTCCAACGCTCAGCTGCGGCACACAGGTTTACAGATCCGTTCTTACAACAGCGCGGCCCAAGCTCTCCATACCCCACATGGTCACACGCCCACCGGGGCGAAAGTGTCAAGCCCTGGAACAAGCATCGCTTTGCAGCCCGCTCTCCCCCATCCTCTCTTGTCTCTTGCAGTGCCCAGCCAGCCAGCTGTGGCGAAGTCCTGCTCCTCTGTCGTGCGTGCTGGTCTCAGCCCAGCCATCTTGAAGCAATCTTAAAACTGGCTATGGCAGTTGGGCAGCGCCTGTCAACAAGCACAACAATGCAATAAGGGGCGGGGACTGCAGGGCGATCGAGGCGATCTTCGCCGGCCAGCGGTCATAACAACCTCCCAGGGGGTTGTTGATGCCGTTGGCCGGCGAAGATCGTGGGGATTGCGCGAGTCGCACGGCGGGAGGAGAGGGGCCTGCAAGTGTGAGATCTTGACTCACACTTGTAGGCCCTCCGCTCCAGGCGGGGGAGCGCGAGCGCGGAGGGAATCTTTGTGGCCAGAAAGGTGCAACAGGCTGCTAGAAGCCTGCTGCACCCTTTTGGCCGCGAAGGTCGTGTCGATCATCGCCCCGCCGGCTCGAATTCCGGCGGGGGGCGGATGGAGGGTCCAGGCACCGGCACCTGCACCCCTCACTTTGGACGCGCGGGCCGGCGAGGATCTCGGCGATCCTCACGGGCCCAGCGGTGCGGCGGGCTCCCGGAGCAGCTCTTTGTGGGGCTATGCTCGCGAGGATCGCTGGGATCCTCGCGTTCAACCGTTTGCACCCCACCACCCCCAAGCCCCAACCTAACCATCCCCTTTCTAACCATCCCTTTCTGTGCGCCCGGCCCCCTTCCCCACCAGCCAAGAAGCGATCGCGCGCAGTGAGCGAGGCGCGAGAGAGGCAGCAACACAGAATCCACGGAATCCAAACAACGAATTTCCAACAACGAGGGCGGAAACACACAGCATGGCTATAGCAGGCCTAAAGCCAGACACCCAGGCAACCACCCAGGAATCCACATGAGCGCCTGCGCCTATCTCGCAGGACGGCGCCGCAGCTCTTGGGCCACGAAGTGGGGTTGAATCCTCGTGGGCACACTGCAAACTGCCTTCGTTCCCCCTTGCTTGCAGAAATCCTCCAACAACCCAGCACCCCAGGTGCAGACAAAAAAAACATGGGACCTCACCTTTGATCCTCGCGGCGTCCTCCTGCTCCCGCTGCTGTGCTGTGACCCGCTGCGTCCTCCTCCTCAGCAGCCGCGCCGCGCCGTCTTTACGCTCCGTCACGTGTGCCCAAGTCTCCGCGGTAGTCCGTCACCCTCTACGCAAGCGTGTGCCGAGCACGTATGCTGAGGACCCTGCAAGGTACACTCACAGCGACGCATGCGTGCTCCCGTCGCCGTGCCACCCAGCCGCTGGACCCATTCATGGCTGGGGCCCGGATCCTGCAGCCGCACCACACAACCAGCCATTTTGCGATGAGCTTAAGCCCGCCAGCCGCGGCAGTCCATCACCCTCTACGTAAGCGTGTGCCAAGCACGCATGGTGAGGACCCTGCAAGGTACGCTCACACCCGCGCATACGTGCTCCCGACGCCGTGCCGCCCAGCCGCTGGACCCGTTCATGGCTAGGGCCCGGATCCTGCAGCTGCACCACAAAACCAGCCAGATTGCGATGAGCTTGAGCCCGCCAGCCACGTGTGGCTGGCGATGTACATTGAGTCATCCGTGATCTCCAGTGCACAGCAGTACTGGCGGAAGCACAGACTCACCCTAACAGCCGACATCGCAACACCCAGCGACTGCACTTGGGCGACGCACCTTGGGGCCTGTGCCTTGGCCTCCGGTACCCCTTGGGACATGAACGCCATGCTGCCAGGTGGGTCCAATGCAGCTGTGGACGTGGTCGTGGACGTCGAGCGAACCACGGGGACTCGTGGCGATCGGAAAGTGAGGCGTAGGAAGCGGCGAAGCATTGATCATAAAGCCCTGAGGGGGGCAATGCACACCATCGACAAGTTGTACAGGGCAAACTGTGATGCAGTCAAGGAGTCGGAGCCGTTGAAAGCCCAGATCGCTGAGCTAAAGCCAGGTCCCGCTGCCCAGCTCCGGAGTTGGGCGTTGGTGTGGCCACCTTGGTGGCCATTAACAAAGTCTTGAGAGCAGAGCTGGAGACGGCAAGGAGCAAGTATAAGCGATACAGAAGAAAATGGCGTTCGCCTGGCTGTGGCCCTGCAGCTTCTTAGCCCTCTCTGCCTCCAGCTGCGCCTCAAGGCCTCTGGACTTTTCTTCCAGCGCCTGCTTCTGCTCGCCCAGTTCCCTGACACGCAACTGACAAGCACACACACGCACTTCGCATCACTATTATGGCAATCACAACGATTCCTCACTTGCAAATCACCAGCAAAACCTCATCATTCAACATATTTTCATGACGCAGATGACTGTGTCATTATTGGCTGTGGATTCGCACCAACACAACCTGCTGGCTGCAAGGGTGTGCTCTGCATGTTCACAGCAAATGCATTCAGAGGAATGCGACTCTCATCGTTAGCTGCATGACCACCTGAGACATTACTTGATGATATTGATGGTTTCATTTTTAACTTTCATGCAGCAGCAGGGTCCACTTTCCACAGTGTGCCCCACGTGCCTGCTAACCCCACAATCCATCTGTCAGCTCGGCCTGGCAACACAAGAATCACACCCAGAGATCTGGACTGTCTTCCACCACTGTCAATGTGTGAAGCTGTACTTTGGCGGCTATCACACTCCGGGACAAGGACTTTGACAGCTGCATTCTACCGATGGGGGAAAGTAAATGCACTCAAGTCAGCCAGCCGGCCACGCCAGCAGCCCCTGAGCACGGGCACAGACAAGGCCTGAAAGCGAAAATGGAGGCAGTGCCAAAACTCCAGCACCCTACATTGGCGCCCTTGAGCTCGCCATTAAGTTGCTCCACGTGGGTATGCAGATCTGCATATGCTTTTGCTCCAGAGTCCTTGGCCCTATCCAAATCTTTGGACAGTGCTGGCAATTTGTATTGTGCTTCTGCGAGCGCTGCTATCAATCCTGCCATATCACCATCCTTCCCCTTTATGAGCTGACCAGGAACTTCCTGCCGTCAACAGTGTGCAAAGTCAGTCATGCAGGAGATGCTTTTACTGTCGCGATGAATGTGAGCAACCGCGATGAAAATTCGCAGCCACCATCGTCCCCTTTTCCAGGATATCAGCTGCCATTTTCAGCAGCGCAAGCTCACCTCAACAGTGCTGAGGGCTGCTTTGTTTGACCTCGCAAGGTCTTTGTACCGATCCTTGTCGACTTTCAGTCGTGCCACCTCAGCTCGCCCATTTTCCACTTCTTTGTGCAGTTGCAGGGAGAGGCCTGCAGCAGCAGGGCTTGTCACCTGACAGAGTCCCATACGCTACTCACTGAGTGGTACTCAAGCAGCAGCAAAGCACACACACCACATCACCTTTTCCGCAATTTGGCAAAGTCATGAGCACGCACTTCATTCGCTTCATATCCACAACTGAGCTCTGCACTGGTGTTATCCCTCCACTGCAGTAGGACCACAATGTGTAAACACGAGTGCGAAACTTCTAGGACTAGCAAAATCTCCATATCACTGTGTACTGGTTCACTTGCACCTTGCTAGTTGTGTGGCAGCATGCTATCAGTGCAAACATTTCTTGTGTGGTTCACAGCCGCACCTGTGGTGCCTGTGCCTCTGTGCAGCTCATCGATTTGGCCCTCTTGTCATCGACAGCCTTTCTCAATTTCAAGTTTCCCGTCTTCAGTTCAATAGCCTGCAGGTCTGCCTGCTCAGGACAGGACCGAAGTCGATCGCAGCTGGCCTGTGTGACACACCACCATAGAGCCTATCAATTTTGCCAAGAACTTGCCATTCATGCCAAAAACATCATCAAACACTGTATTGTTGTTAGTTTCCTTTCCAGAAGTTATCAACACATTACCGTTAGCTGGCAAAACACATTTGTCAGAACAACACTTTGTTCGCAAGTTCTGAAAACGCAGTTCTCATGACACCAACCTGCTGGGTCTGTGCACAAGCAAACATCTTTGCAGCTTCCTTCATGTCAGCTTGAAGTTGAGTGACCAGCGCCAGAACATCGCCATCTGGGCTCTTGCTGGCTTCTGGAGCCGCTGGCTGACCAGCAGAGACTCTCCGCCAGCTCAGTTCAGCGTCCCTTTCCTTCAGCGGGTGCTCCGCCAAGCTCAAGCGCTCCTCAGCTGCCCGTCGGGCCAAAGACTCCCTTTCCAGACAATGCTGCAGGTCCTGATGAGTGGTCGCTCCCATTGACTGCATGTGTTCGAGTCACCTGCTCAAGCACAGCGTCACATAAGGAGAAAAACAGCCAGATGGCTACATTCTTTTGGAGGCTGAAGAGTACATGATGGATGGATGGCCTCCACAGATACGTCCCACCATTACCACCAATTAACTGCTGCCTTCATCCGTCACTTCAGGAGAAAAACAGCCAGATGACTTCATTCTTTTGGAGGATGAAGAGCACACGATGGAAAAGATGGCCTTCCACAGATATGTCCCGTAACTGCTGCCTTCATCCTTCAAGCTAAGCAAGGGATTCGACAAATGTAATACCGTGTGATCTCTCACAGTCAGCAAATACAGCAGCAAGGTGCCCATTGCTGTCCATGCCAAGTTGCAATGTGTCTCGAACTGTGCTGTAGCAAATAAGCTTGAAAGTGGAGAGATGCTGCCGTGGCCTTTTCATGTGGTGCTTGTTTCAGCCACTCTTCCAACTAGCTGTTGACCCACACAAATTGCAACATAAACTTACATGTTTATTTCATACATGCGATATGTTATCTGAATTTAAATAAACCATGTCAATCAACAGCCAACTGTTGAAATGCTGCATCAGTAATGACAAGTTTCAATGCCTCTACATTGTCTTTCCATGATTGTGAGCAAACTGATCAAGAGAACTACAGGTGCCGAGGAGCAGGACAGCCCAGCAACTGCAAAACTGGTTTATCTCCCTCATACTGTTGGTTCAGCTGTCCAAGCACTTGATGACAACACCACAATCAACCATGTTGATTGTGCTCACGTTCGTAAGCAGTCAACATGCGCTGTTCCCAATAGGCCAGAGTGCCAGCCATATTCTGCCACTTGCAGTGTTGCCAGTGAGAAGGTTTGCTTGAGTGCGGGGCAGCCAACAAGTCATCGTGCACTTGAAAGGACGGGCAGCCATACTATATAGAATTTATAAGGGGAAGTCTGGCTTTTCATGACATCAGAGTAGTCATGGGTGACAAGGGAACAGTGCCACTATCAGATCAGTGGCTCAGGAGCATTTGACACTCCTCAGGCAATGAGCACTTTCCTACTGCACGCAGTTTCCAGCTATGGTGTAAGCTGTGTACACCAGAAGCAAGCTTCAGCAATCGAACTGATACCAATAGGTCCAGACCTGCACAAAAAGTATTTTCCATCTCCCTGTGATGCATCCAGACTACGAACACCTGGAAGATATGTCTGAAATATAGAAAGGCAGTCCCAACATTGTTTAACAGCAGAAAGGTAGTATTTCATCCTGTCTTGAGCAAACAACCAGAACCATCCAAGTAGATTCCTGCGGATGTACATGAGGCACTAGCAACGAACCTGGGGCCTGGACACAGCCGCTGCAGAAGTTCTCTTCCTGTGCTCAACAAGCAGCATCTGCTGCTCCTGAAGCTCGTTGTGCAGCTTGTCCCTCTCGCACTCCAGGCTGCGTATCTTGTCCCATTTCTCGGTGCTTGCCCTTGCCTAATAAGAACCAGACCAGATTAAGAAGCAAAGCATGGCAACAGCACACATGGGCTGCCTGATGGGTCTCTTCAGCAATACATCACCAGGCTTGTTGCTCGCCACAAACATCAAAATGTTCCAGCTTTAGTACAATGCAGAGATCCCTTCTGGGGCCACCTTGCCCCCTCACCCCAAACCTGCCCCCGGCCACACACCCTCAGCACAGAATACGAACATCTACCTGCGCATGTTCCCCTTTCTTGTGCACCATGGAGCAAACGGATTCCAGTTCTTTCACCCTGTCGTTGCTGACCACCAATCTGGCCCTGAGCACCCTGTTCTCTGCTTCCAGCTCTTCACAGTGGCTTGCTCGAGACTTGGCCTGTGCTGCCTGGCACATCACACCGTTGCATTAAAACTGCACCAAACTGGACCTATTGGAGACCCAGTCAGCTTCTGGTAAATCATGCTTCCTGCAGCTATGGCCGTGCCAAGCAACACAGGGCCCCCGGATCTGTACAGAAACTCACGCAGACTTTTTACCCCCACAATGCAAAAAAATGCCTCTATGTACAGCACAACATATCGTTGTTCTGCACCAAGGGATGGCAACAAACTACAGACGACTTCAACAGTGATAACGACAATAATGAACATGTGCTGGTGGTGCCTACAATCCTCAGCGCAAGGAATTCTCAGGGATGCGAACTTCGCACCTTCAAGGTGCAGATGTCCACAGAAAAACTCTTCCTGCTTCAAGTCCACAACACATGCACAAGCTGGTCGGGATAAGAGAGTGAAGGAATGCCATCAAAGCAGCAAATCCTCACTATCCCGTGGGCATCTGCATGTGCAGCCCAATGTCTTATCTGGGTACTGGGGTGAGACAGAGGTATATCAAGGCGATATGCCATAATGATAGCACTGGCCAGCACCATTCCGGAACTCCGTATCTATTCACTGCACTTTTGGGTTTTACGTCCCTACTAAACACAACAGAGACAAGAAGGGAGTTCGATAAAGGTTTGGATGCAACGGCCCAGAGTTGCAAAAGCGCCGCGCTGGAGCCATCGCCCGGCTTCTGGCCCTGCGTTGCCTTGGTCACCTGCGCCGAGAGCTTGCGGTCGCCCTGCCCCTTGGGTCTGGAGTCCCCCGACCTCGCTGAGCCCGTGGATTTCAGGTCGCCCATAGAAAAGCCCTTCGACACACGCGGGCCTGGGTGCGGCGCCCAGCGTGGGCCCTGCCCCGACTCCACAGTTGGTCTCTGACAGGCTGCCCATCGACCACATAAGGCATGACCCCCCGCAGTCGCCGGTGGACAGCGTCTGGCTGTCGTAGGCACTGTGCGTCTGCGCCTTGAACACGGATACCGGTGTGGCTCTCGAACACCGACGCCGGGGGGCTCTCCCTGGTGACCTCACTGCGGGAGATCTCACATGACAGCACCTCCACATCGGGGTGCAGGTCCACGCCGCCGCGCGGCCCAGCTCGATGGGATCTTTGAAAGAGAACCATGCGTGTGGTTGCTAGCGGAGCGGGGTCCGCGTAGAAGGTGTCAGGTCTAGGGTATACATGTTGAATGCGTCGGCCGACACCTCCTGCATCATCACACCCGCCACTCCACCCTCAGGACATTCCAGCAGCCAATCCCGGCGGCTTGTGTCCCGGCAATCGCCCGACCCTGCTAAGACACCCAGTCGCCCCTTGCCTGTCACACAATCCGCCCCAGCCCTCTTGCAATTGCTGAAACCTACCTTCGCCCTCTATGACACGGATCCCTTAACAGCACTCCGCCCTCAGGGCATTCCAGCAGCCAATCCCGGCGGCTTGCGTCCCAGCGATCGCCCGACCCTGCTACGACACCCAGTCGCCCCTTGCCCTTCACACAATCCGCCCCAGCCCTCTCGTAATTGATGAAACCTACCTTCGCCATCTATGACGCGGATCCCTTAACAACAGCGCCGCGTCCCGCCAGGCAGCAGCAAAGTCGCCACTGCAGAACATGCCGCTCTCCTTGCGCGCCCCCATCTCCGATTTGGAGCGAAGGGCAGCCGGGGAGCCTGGTTGGGGTGGCGGCACGCGTCGGGGTGCCGATGGCGGCCGACGGGCGCCGGGGGTGCCGATGCATGCCGATGCATGAAATAAGGGACGGTGAATGCGCAGGCAGGCACGGCTGCACAAGGGACATGGCGAATGAGAGCCCACAAATGCCCACGCGGGATCCCGGCTGCGTGGGTGGCGTGGGGGGAGCCCGATGAGCCCCGACGTGGGCGCACGTCGGGCGTTGGACACGCCGGCAGCGGCGGGGCGCGTGGGAGGCACGCGACGGGTAGCCACGCCGACCGACGTGGCAATCCCGATGCGCAGGCCACAGGCCGACACGGCGGGCGGCCGCCGAGGCGGGCCACGTCGGTCCCCGTCCAGGGGCCGGCGCCTGCCCATGGCATTTGCGAATGCCGACGCCAGCCGACGTCATGGAGCGGATGCCCACGCAACTCAACGCGGCCGACGTGGGCAGTCCGACGATTCTGTAACACGAGTGTATTGTTTTGATAGCACCAATAAGGGACGAAAAGTCCTGGCCCCCCAAATTTGGGGCCCGAAGGTAGCTCCGGTCCACCAGGCCAGCACTGAATTTTAGCTCTAAGCTATGGCGAGCTACACGATCAGGGCCTTGAGAACGCGATTCTTATCGCTGCACTTCCTCACAAGCACCATGCCGATCTTCTGTATCAATAGCATGGATAGTTTTGCACGGGCGGCTCTGTTTCGCCGCCGCGAACGCATGCTCCTCGAAACTGCGAAAACGGCCGTTTTCGCGAAATCGTTGAAAAACCGATGGGTTTCTGGCAGGAGGACCCTTGCTACAAAGTACTGCCAAATTATCAATATTTAACAGATTGACTTGAAATTTTGACCGTATACTCTTAAAAGGTAAGTACAGCTTTGGACAAAATTTAACTTAAAAACTACAATATATGATGGAGAAATGATGCGCCAAATTCGTAGAGGACATTTAATATGGGACGGAGGAAGTATAAGGCACTCCCCCTTGTCTGATAAAGCCATTCCATCAACTTTGTCTTCACAACCATGCTCATCTGCTGTGCGCAGCGACAAAATGTCCATAGAGCAGTTGTTGAGGTGCAGATGTTGTATCACATACGTGTTGTATCACATACGTGTTGCTGTATACAACCCCAATGTGTGGAGTCCTGGCAGCTGTTGGCACCTACGACTCTATTGGAAGGAAACAAACCTTGAGATGTGAACTCTTAGTGCTTGTACGCTGCAGGTGATCATCAGGAAGGGGCTTGCTGATTGACAGGCTGGTTGCATCGGAAGGTATGCAAAGGATGCATGTGGCAATCTTTGGCTTGTGGCAATGTCAGCAATCCATTGTTCCAGTAGTCGCCACAGTCCTATACCAATTGTCTTTCTGTTGCAATGTATACATACTATGGTACTCTGGTGGTGGGATATTTGCAGTTGTAGTCAGTTACTAAATTCACATTGTGAGTGCAAGGGCAGCACTCCCTTCTCAGTAT